GATAGGCATGCGTGGAAGCTTGCTATCCATGTACCCGAACCATGAGTTGGTCGCGAGATCTTATGGGTTTCACCTCTAGCCTACCCCAACTTGTTTGGGACTAAAGGCTAAGTTGTTGTTGTTGTTGTTGTTGTTGGACTTCCTCACTGATGGTTCGGCATCGTGTCCCGATGCCTTGCTCAAGGAGATCGCGTTGTCGGAGACCGGGAGTCTGCACTAACATGTCAACATCGCTGACATTTTGTGCCTGCAAGATTCGGCTTCATACCGGCTGACCGATCAGGTGCCCAATTGCGCCTGAGGCGTTCCACAATTCCTTGGCTAGTCCATGCCACAATCGGCGTTCGCAAGATCCAGTTCCGCACCGGTTGGCCGATAGGTGCCCCAACGGCGCTTGAGGTGTTCCACAATGCCTTGACTCGTCCATCCTTGTCTCGTTTTTGGCATGGTCAACTCTGACTCGCTATACTCCATACTGGAGTCTTGCTCCGACGGGGAAGAAAGTTCTGATAGCCTCGCCTCTATGGCAAGTGTCTTCATGGGCAACATCGACGTCAATGATGGCGGCGTGCGCAACGATGGTGCGCGCGACGACGACACACGCAAGGTGCTGGTAATGGCTGGGCCGACTTAGCTTCGATCGTGTCAAGTTCCAGTCTCCCTAGCCAGAGACAGCAACCTTCAGGCCCGCTCAAACGCCAAGTTGCTCCACGTGAGATCGACAAAGAGGCCATGAGGTTGAATCAATTCAGCCGTGAAGTACTTGTACCAGTAGTACTAGTTGTAGCGCAGTTATCGAGATCTGATTGATAAATAGAATTATGCATCCAAGCAATTTGATCCCTAGTCGGCATGCCGAGTACTACTTGCTTCGAGTACTATTTCAGCAGCCGAGTACTACTTCAGCCGAGTCGCAGCAGCCCAATCTGAGTTGTGCTGCCAAGTTGCAGCCAACTAGTACTGCGGTCTAGTGATCCGATCTCCAGCTGCTGCTCCATGCGAGATCAACCAGAAGAAGTAGCACCAAAGTACTAGTGTGAGCACAAATCCCAAGATCTGATTGCTACTCACGCAAAGCACCAGCCGGGTTCAGTACTACTAAACACAAAGCGTCAACAGAATGGGTTGTCACGCGTCCAAGCTTCAGCTCCATCACAGACCTTGACACTGGTCGTCAACGAGGAACCACCATCGAAGGCCGCCACCAACAAATGGAACAATCACTTGGGAAAGTTGTGTTCGCATGAATCATCAAGGATTCTGGAGTAAGAGGATGATGAAGCCGAGAAGGCGAGAATGAAGTCTAAGCACTGCTTCAACCGCAAACTTAGACAAAAAAGCAGTCGGCGGCACAAAATAGGTAGATGACCATGTGCTAGCCAATCTAGTCCGCATGTTCGGATGAGGACCTCCTCTTCGAGGATCCAGCACCGCCGCTAAACTCGTCTTGGAATCACCACTCCTTGAAGCCTCTGAGCGGGTCTCCGATATGGAGGTTGAGAGGGGTAGCGATAGATTGAAGAAGAGGATAACAACGTAGATCAGTTTTCTGCGTGTGCATATGCTGGAAGGGAGAAGCCACCACCAGTGGAAAAAGGGGCCGGCGCCAACAGAAGAATAGAGGAACCATGCAACGGCCCTAAACTGACCTGCTTGATCCTCTGGGAGATCAACCAATAAGCGTTGAAAATGAAAATAACTCAGCAAAGATGATATATGGAGCAGCAAGGCGGGCACCACGGGAGAGGAAGATGATGGAGATGAACATCCGGTGACCAAGTAGAGAAAGACATGGATGGGGGAATTATTGGGAACAAAAACAAGACCACCATCTGGCAGCATAATCCCCAAACCACACGAGAAGGGGGCATATCTAGCCAGATAGAACAAGGGAGGTTATTTGTAGAGAGGAACACAAGCCCAACCTGGAGATGCACGTCGCCGGGAACTAAGAAGTGACGCCAGATCTAGTTCGACACCGAACCCTCCAATCCGATTCGAAAGTCCTCAAACAGGCCATAAAGGACGCATAAACATGTGGATCTACAAAGGGAAGGAGGGCCGAGCCCCTCTATCTCTAGCCGGATGAGTCGATGGGGAGGAAGGGGAAGGGGCGAGGATGCGTCGGGAGGATGGCGAGTGAGACCAGGAACAGAGACTGAGACTGGATGGAGGAGAGAGAAAGAGAGGAGAGAAAATGAACATCATCTCGTAGTCAAGTGCTTCAAATTTATAAGTTGTTCGCTACCCTGGTTTGCACTCTGTATGATTCCTTCATCTGTTCAGTTTTTCGTGCTGATTCAGCTGGCGAGTACCTATCACGTGCGCTTCGTGGTTTCTTGCAAAGGGTTCTCTTTATTCACACTTATCCTCATGCTCACACTCTTTTGCTCCTCTATGTTGATGACATGATTATCACAGGGGATGACCACCAATTCGTTGATTTTGTGAAGAAACGTTTCCATGAGCAATTCTTGATTACTGATTTGGGTTATCTTTGCTACTTTCTTGGATTTAGGATCATTTCTTCCCGTGAGGGCACATATCCCTCTCAAGAGAAGTACATCCAAGTTCTTCTCACTCATGCCTATGCCTGCTTCACTGATCAGCGCACGGTTGACACTCCTAATGAGTTTAGTCTTCATCTTCGTCCTAGTGCGGGTGAACCCCTTGCGGGTCCCAATCGCTGCTGTCATCTTGTTGGGAGCCTTGTCTATCAAGGCATCACTCGTCCTAACATTTCTTATGTTGTGCACATTCTGAGTCAGTTTGTGTGACAAGCTTAATAGTAATGATAGACTACTCATGTCAATAAGGTGCACATTCTTTTTCGGAAGTCCACCGAAAGGAACCTCAAAGTTAAGCGTGCTTGGCTTGGAGCAATTTGAGGATAGGTGACCGACTAGGATGTTGATCTCGGGTGCGCATGAGTGAGGACAAAGTGTGCAGTAAAGACTAGTGTTGGTCTGTGGGGCCAGTCTAGATTCTAGGTGGTAGCTAGGCGCAACGACCAGGAAATGGTGGGTGAACCGCTGGGTTTGGCTGGGGTGTTACAGTTTGTCTTTGCTCCCACTCAACTTCACTAGTCATCTTCTTCATGCTCTTCGTTCTTCGTGGTATTGTGACTTGTCGCCTATTCTTCCCTCGCTCCAGCTTCAGCTTCATGCCTACTGTGATGTGCCTGAGCTAGTGATTACAATGATCGCTGCTCTCTCTCTGTGCCTATTGTGTTTTTCTTGGGTCTCTCTAATTGCTTAGAATACCAAGAAGCAGACCATTGTATGTATCTCACTCCAGTGTTGAGGCCGAGCTGTGAGCTATGGCGTCCATGATTGCAGAGATCACTTGGCTACGGTGTCTTGTTCAGGACTTTGGTGTTTCTACTGCTGCAAGTACCCCTTTGCTCTCCGACAGTATTGGGGTGCTCATCATTGCCCGTGTCCTGTGAAGCATGAGCTCACCAAGCACATCGGTGTTGATGCCTCATGCGTTCTCAGGTGCAAGAGGACTGTGGCCCTTCAGTATGTTCCCTCGGAGCTTCAGCTTGCTGATTTTCTGACAAAAGCTCAGACACGGTCACAACACAGCTTCTCCCTTTCCAAACTCGATATCCAAGACCCCACTTGAGTTTGAG